CACAATTATCACAAGGATTCCGCTCGGCTAGGGTTAACTTAGAAAATCGACTACCGATTTGATGTGATATGAGTGTGATAATCATGTGATATCACTATCATAACAGCGCACTCGATTTGATCATGGTTTCGATCGGTTAGGGTTAGACAATCACACATTTATCACAATGATTACGGGCGACATCCACTAAACGATTTGGTGTGATATGAGTGTGATAATCATGTGATATCACTATTATAACATCACTTGCGCACTCAATTTGATCATGGTTTCGATCGGTTAGGGTTAGACAATCACACATTTATCACAGCGATTACTCATGGTTTCGATAGGTTATGGTTACACTTTTCTGATCATGGTTTCGATAGGTTATGGTTACACAATCACACAATTATCACAAGGGGAAAGAAGAGAGTGAAAACGAACGTGCAGGAAAAAAAAGGGATAATTATGACTAATTAAAATAAAATAAAAATTATAAAAAGTACTTAATTACATTGCTGCCCTTATTAATTTATTTATATTTAATATAAGTTAATTTATTAATTAAAAAAGTTTAAGGTTATTAGGTTGTTCTCGCATTCTCGTAAATTACAGGGGTTCTCGTTTGAACCTCCACCTATATATATATATATATAGAGAGAGAGAGAGAGAGAGAGAGAGAGAGAGAGAGGGGGGGAAGGGTTCAAACGAAAACCTCTGTGATTTGCGAAAACGCAAGAACAACTTATTAACATCATATTATGATAACAATAAAAATTAAAAGATTTTTTAAATTAAAAATGAAATTAAAACAATTCAAAAATTTTGAGAGGCAAAAGGGTAATATTGGAATTCCAAGTGATAAATTTTTAAAAAACGATCACACTAAACCCAATAATCTGAATAACATAATGGGCTATTATGGTTATCGCTTATTTCAACAGAATTTGGTGTGATTTGGTTGTAATAATCATGTGATATCACTATTATAACATCACTTGTGCACTCAATTTGATCATGGATTCGATCGGTTAGAGTTAGACAATCACACATTTATTACTCATGATTTCGATAAGTTATGGTTACACTTAATTGATCATGGTTTCGATAGGTTATGATTAGACAATCACACAATTATCACAAGGAAAGAGAAGAGAGTGGAAACGAACGTAATCAATTCAGGAAAAAAAAAGATAATTATAATTAATTAAAATAAAATAAAATTTATAAAAATTACTTAATTAAATTACTATTCTTATTAATTTATTTATATTTAATATAAATTAATTTATTAATTAAAAAAGTTTAAAATTATTGGATTGTTCTTGCATTCTCGTAAATCATAGGATTTCTCGTTTGAACCTATATATATAGATTAAAACCTTTAATTTCCACTGCAACTTTGAAGTTTTAAGCGGCGCATGAAAGACATCAGAATCCATATTCTCCTTCATCTCTACCACGACACCTCCATACATATCTTCCGTTGCAGGTAGTTGCATTTCCATCAGTTGGTCTACCAAACAGATTTCAATTCTTTAACAGATTCCGTTCCAATGCTTGCCAACCAAACAGGTGGACAAACCTTACAACACTTCATTCCAATTCCTTCAAAGCCAAATTCCTTTAACAGATTCCATTCCATCCAAA